TACAGTATGTTCACAAATAAAATAAAATTAAATTAAAAAAAATATTATATAGGTATAAAGATGTAGTACTGCTATTAAGGAATTTAAGTCTAAGAGGTTTTGAATTGAGGAATAAATTTGTGGATTATGTGTGTACACAATGTGGGATAAGGTCTAATATTCCACTACGGGTTTATCTGAGGATGTGCAGAACAGCAATTAAGTCACATAAAGAATGAAAGAGAAGAACTGGTGAAAAGGATAAGAGAGAAAGAAAAAAGATAAAAGCAAACCAAACCTAAAAACAAAAATAAAAACAAAAACAAGAAGAAAGGAAGAAAAACGCAAACACACATATACCCCTAAAATAAAATTCTAAGAGGAAAAAAAATTACTAGAAAACAATTTTTTTGAAAAAAGGTAAAAATTAAAGATTAAAATTTTTTTTTATAAAAAGTACAACAAAACAACAGCAGAAAAAAGTTTTTTGATTTTTTTGGGGGAGGGGTGGGAAAAATCTTGTGTCTCCCTTGTGTCTGTAACCAGCCTCGAATTTGGAGATGCTGTGATGAGGCTAGGTTCTGGGTAGAGTTGAGGCCTTTCAGCAAACATTAGCTTTTCCTGGGGGGGCTGGTTTGTGAGAAACTCACAGAGCCCAGCCTGGAGCCACTCTCAGGGTTTCTGTTTACTGAATTTCAGTTGATTGTCCAGGCTGCTAAAGGGAGGGGCAGCCTCTGGCTCTGATTACCCCGTGAAGAAAGCCACTCCTGGGGCTGGCGCCCGAGCTGGGTGACTTTTCCCTGCATGAAGCTGAGTCTGGCAGGTCAGGTAGGCACTTTTGACCTGCTAGATGACTCTAGATTTATTCCAGGGCCTGAGTTGGAATTAGCAGCTCTGCCTAGCTTTGTCAGTATCCAATATGGAGATCTCCGGTACTGGGGGGGGGAGGGGTAGCCTTTCCTCCTCTGCTCCCTGAGAAGGAGTGAGGACGTCAGGCTTCTACTCACACTGGGTTTTGGTTCCTGGGTCATCTCTGGTATGGAAACTGCAGGATGAAGATGTCTTCTCCTTGTCGGTTCTTGCTGGTGTTGAGTAGAATCCGCTTGCCCGCCACTTCTGGCTCCTTTGTTCCAGACTCTCTGTGTTTCAGGTATGGCCACTGCAGTCGCCCCTGCCACTGCTGCCACCGCCACGGAGGCTGCTGGCAAGTACTCAGGGCTCTCTCCCTGCCTGTATTTTCTCTCTCTAGCCTAACTCTCTGTCCTGTGAAGGCACACTTGGTGTGATTCTCTGGCTTAGGACTATTCACTGGAACTCTAAAACTTCTTTTTATGCAAAAGCTTGTTCAGCCTCCAGCTTCTTCTCAGCCATCTTCCCGGAACTTGGTCTTCTTAGTAGCTATTGATCCAGGAGAGATTATAATGTGGTGGTAGGATGATCTGTTCTGGTGTGGCTTATTTGGGATTCTAAAAGCTTCTTGTATCTAGATATGCCTGTCCTTTTGTATATTTGGGAAATTCGCTGCTAGGATTTTTCTGAATGTATTTCCTAATCCATTTGTTTCCCTCTCCAGGCCCTCTCGTATACCTTTTATTCTCAAATTAGGATTTCTGAATGTCTCCTGTATTTCCTGCAATAATCTTCATGCTTGTTGGTTTTGTTATGAATATCTGTGTACTCTTTCTCTCTGGAGTCTTAACTGTCTTCTGCCTCAGAGATTCTTTCTTCTGCCTCCTCCATTTTGCTTTCAAGGCTTTTTACTTTGCTATTTATCTCCTTTCCTTTTTGCTGGCCTTTCTTAATGGTGGCCAGCTCTTTATTAAGGTTTTTTTTTAAGTTTTGAATAGATTGCCTTATCTCTCGGAGTTGGTTTTTGGACTTCTCTTTCCACCCTTTTATCTGGGTTTCTATCTTTTCATTAGACTCTTTCTTCTTCTTTTGAAGTTCCTTTATCCTTTTATTTGTGGAGGCCATGAAGTCATCTATTAACTTCTGGTAGGCCTGATCACCTTCTCTTATAGCCATAAGCAGTGTGTCCAATTTTTCATTCAGCAGATTTACCAGCCATACTTTTAAAATACCTTGAGTATTATCCTCTAGGTCATTCTGGGATACTCTATGGCTTATTTACATTGAGATGGTGTTGGGGTTTGTTGATTGGCCATGTTTCCTTTGTTTCTGCAGTTAGTTCTACCCATTTGAAGATAAGAACCACACTGGTATGATGATAGGACAGTCTTTTAGGGCCAGAGGCAACCCGGTGTCATATAAATGTATAGATCTTAGGGGTTCAGTATTATGGATAGGTGTTTTCCTATTTAGCTCTCTTTTTCTTTGCTTGAAGGGAGATGTTGTGGTTCTGAGGTAGAAATTGTATATAGTTGTAACTTTTGAGGAGATGTATGATTAGCTGATAACTAGTCGGCATCTTAGAGGTAACAGGATGTGCCTCTTGTACATAGTCACAACAGAACCAACTCTAAGTTTGGTCAGATAGAAACCTTTAGGGATCAATGGAGTGGAGCAGATGAAAAAGAGAAGGGTTAGGATTGGAGAGATATAAATTTAAGTTCAGAAGAAAAATTGGGTATAATGATAGTAAAGGGGTAAGAACTGCTCGTAGGACAAGAATATACAGTAGAGGCTTTGTTTCTGAGAGTAAGAGGTAGAAAAGAATTCGAAGAAATGTTATGTAGGGAACAGCTGAGAGAGCTAGAGATAGTTTAGAAAAAAAGGTATATATAGATAAGAAAAGTTATATATATAAGTGTATTTGGAAAAGTTGCTGAGACTAGAAAATGGTTTATTCAAAGAGTATTGGGATGCCACTTAATCTAAAATAACTCCTGTAATTATTGTTTACATACATAGAAGGAGGCCTTTCTTTGTGTATACAACTAAACAGGGTATCTCTGATGGAGTAGCATTATAATGTGGAGAGAAATGAAAAGGGGATTGTAAGAGGAAACACAAAATAGAAAATTAGGAAATTGAAAAATGGAAGGAAAAAACAAATAATAGTGAAAAATAGAAGATTGAAGAAATAGAAAATCCTAAAAACCAATACACAAAAGTAACACAGAGAAATAAAAACAACAAACATCAAATATAAAAAAACCTAAAGAGTGAGTTTCTCTGGTTGTTTAGGGAGCTTGAGTCTCTATGTATTCCTCAAAGCCAATTACTGATAAAACTTCGTATGCTTTGCCATAGTCCACTTTTCTTTTGGCTTGGTTGGGACTAGACAGATTTTGATGAGGGCGGGTGACTGCTATCTAGAGTTCCACTCTGGAAGAAGCACTGTGGCTTAGATGGTAGAACACTACCCTTGAGCTGAAGAGCTCAGGGACAGTACCCTTGCCCAGAATTCAAGCCCCATGACTGACAAAGAAAATTCACAGACTTTCCTTCCTAGGCTGCTCTGGGGCAGCTGGGATCCTCCTGGAAGATCCAATGGACGCATTGGTGCTAGCACCAAGCAAGGCATATTGTTTATTCTGGATTATTGGTCCAACCATTTTATGTCTGACACAGTGGTCTAAGAAAAACCTGACCTATACTTATGCCCTGCTCACTAGGAGGTTGAATCCAATACCTGCTGTGTTTCACAAGATTGGAGGAGCCAGGTTGTGTCAGTGTCTTCCTTCTTTATCCTAAAAGAGTTCCAGAGGCACAATCTGGACCCAAAAGCAGAGACTATAAGCATTTCCCCACCACTTGTCTCAGTTTATGTTCATGATTCTGAGATTTAACTTTAATTCTCTCCCTCCATGCAATCAATGTAGGAGGGTTTTTGTCCATAGAGAACTATTAACACTGATGATGGTGAGAAAGAAGCCAGCTTCTTTCCACAATTTCTTACACCTCCTTTTCTGTTGTTTTGTTCTACTAGAGAAGTACCTTCTGGTCCACAACACTTGACTCAGATGTGTTCTTTGTTGGGTGGTGCAATCTTCATGTTCTATCTTCCTTGGCTGCCATCTTGCTCTGCTTCTGGGTAATCCCCTTGAATGATGGTATTCTCTGAGTCAGTTTAGTGTGCCTCTTTAATTTCCTCACAAGGAAAGATTAATTTCTTTGCAGCAGGGTGGGCCATCTGCATGATCTGGCAAGTGAGCGGAGACAAGGTAGCCTGTTTTCCTAGTTAGTACTAATACAGCAGGCCTTGCCTCTCTTCTCATACTGCTTGAAATTGGGTGAACAAGCTGCTCCCAATTTGAATTCGATTTCTTAAGAGTTTTCTCTAATGCACAGCTAAGTCAAGATACTTAATGACTTGGTATGTGAACTGGGCAAGCTCTTATGTCCCAGCAGACAGCAGTGATTTTCACATATCCATACATTCCAGAGAGGAAAAACCAGCTTGCTCATCCCTCTCCCCACCCTTTCTACAATCTCAGAACAATAATCATCTCGTGTATGCTGATCAAGGCCAGTGCAGGAGCTCTCCTAATTGTAATAACTTGTCTAAGACTCCAAATTACAATGCCATCCTGTTGGAAGATAGGATCTACATATACTACTGTGTAGAGATAAGCATTTGATTCAACAGTGTCATGAAATTTGCAGTTAATCTTTTGTAATACACATATACACACCAAATTTTTGTGACCTATGTGCAGGATGAACTTACAGAAATACCAGTTGCTTCTTTCCCTGGTGTTAGCTATTGAGGAGATCAACAAGAATGCCCATCTGCTACCCAACATGACTCTGGGGTTTGAGATCTATAATGAGAATTTCAAAGAGGCTGATATGTTAGAGAATCCTCTCATCTGGCTCTCTGGGATGAATACAAACAGCCCTAATTACAACTGCAGAAGAGACAGCAAAGCTTTAGCAGTACTCACAGGAACCTCAAGCATATCTGTCCCAATTGGGACATTGCTAGAACTCTACAAACTACCACAGGTGAGGCTGGAAGGGGTGGGCAGATGTGATACCATGTTCACATTGACTCTGTCCTCTATAGGCTGAACAAAAAACCCTCCAAAATTCATGATCTCACAGGGAAAAGACTCGAAAGGTGAGTGGGGCATACACATTTTCTTTGCTGCAAAAAATAAATAACTAAAAGGAGAGGTTCTTAAGAGACTAAAGGATGATCCAAAACTCTAAGCCTTATCTGTACATTTTTACAAAGAGCTTGGAACATGGGAGATATATTTGCAAATGGGATAAGCAAACTTTTGCTCCCACTGCTACGAGTTGTTTTATAGTTAACATCAGGACCGAGATTTGCCTATGATCATTCTCTTCCTGGGGTTTGTGTTCATTTTTTTCCCTGTAGTTCATGTTTGGGATATTTGATCCTCTCCTGAATGTCCATGGAAAGTTCAGTACTGTCTATCAGATGGCTGCCAAGGACTCAGCTCTAGCTCTGGCCATGGTATCCTTGATGCTTCATTTCAGCTGGACATGGGTGGGACTGTTCACCACTGAAGATGACTATGGTGTGTGGTTCCTCTCAGAATTGAGAGAAGAGTTGTACAAAAATGGAGTCTGTTTGGCCTTTGAGAACATGATCACTTACACTGCACTTGCAGATTTATCAAATGATCTACGGATGCATCGCCAGCTGATGGACTCATCAACCAATGTGATTATCATTTATGGGGACAGTAAATTTCTACTAAGCTTTACTCTTAAATTTGGGCACTTTTTAATTACAGGGAAAGTCTGGGTCATGAACTCACACTATGATGACATGACAATTGGTAGATATCTTTTGCTCGATTCTTTTCATGCTCCTCTCATCTTCTCTCACCATCATAGAAACACTTACAGGTTCACCAATTATATTCTGACAGATACCTTATCCAAGAACTCAGGAGATTACTCCCTTCCCAAGTCATGGATTCAGTCTGTTTATTGCCTACTGATTAAGTCTGACTGCAGAGACTTGGGGCACTGTTCATACAATGCCACACTGGATTGGTTGCTGAGGCACATTTTTGACATGACCATGTCAGAAGAAAGTTACAACATCTACAATGCTGTGTATGCCTTGGCCCACGCTCTCCACCAGATGTTTCTTCATCACATGGAAGAGCCACCAGTGCACAATGGGAAACCAAGGGCATTTATCTCTTCACAGGTAATGGTTTTGCTTTTGGGTGACCTACACTAGACATGCAGACTTTCTGTAGAAGCTTACAAATCAGATGGAACTAGGTTGTCTGACTTCATTTAGGAAAATACAAGAGACACTGGGCCTGTTGTGGTCTCATTGAAATGATTGTAGAGCTACGAAGACAATGTTTTTGAAGAATGCTGCTTCCATGACAAGGAATTGCTGTGTCTTCTGACCCCCATGTGCACTAAATGTGGAAAAAGCTGTCCCCTTTTCAATACCATATTTCCATATTGACTTTGTACCTTTTAAAAATAACAAATCAAGGGTGACTAGTTCTTATAAAGCTAAGATTGTCTATACACAAGGGGCCCACTTATGTAGCCTACCCCTGAGTACAATTAACCACCAAAATGCCAGAGGTGGAGCTGTGGCTTAAATAATAGAATTCTTATGTTGAAAGGAAAAAAACAAACAAACAAAAATGCCTCACGTTCAGTGCCTAGACCTTGAGTTTGAGCTACAGGACTGGATACACACACTCACACATACACACACATATACATACACATACTCATACCCACACATAATGAACTAAGTCTTGCTTAAGGTAATCTTTCATACTTGCCATAAACACTCTATACTCTCTGATCTAAAATAAGTGATTGGAATTCACTTTAGAGTGGTGATTGAGGTCTGTCACAATATAATTCATTATTTGGTTGGATGTGGCTGGAGTCTCATTCCTTTAAAAATGAGTTTCTGCATCCCATCCTGGATAACTAGGTTTTAGAACTTGGTAACACTTTAGTCCTCTGTGGTCCTACATTTGATACAGTTGATTGGATTCCTGTGGTGCTAGTGAATTATGTGGTGGGAATTTAAGCTAATCTGTGTGCATCCATTGTTACTGGGTTCTGTGATAACTCTGAAAATCAATTCACCATACTATAATGTCCCTTTTAGCTGCATCACTTTTTGAAGAAGATCCAATTTATCAATCTTGTTGGAGACCAAGTGGTTTTGAATGAGGAAAGGAAATTGGAGGCAGAGTATGACATTATGAGCTTTTGGAATTTTCCTAAAGGTCTGGGACAAACGGTGAAAGTTGGCAAGTTTTCTGCATTTAGGCCACATGGTCAACAACTGATTTTGTTTGAAAATCTGATAGAGTGGCCCATAGGAATTACCAAGGTGATTCATTTGTACATTTTTTGCTCTCTTGTTTTTTAAAAACTGTATTGTTAGTGTGAAGTAGCTGTAGAAAGAGCTTAGAATTCTTAGTGATGTTATGAGTTCAAGGCTTGTCCACAATGTCACCACACCCTTATTTCTTCCCCGTAGTTGGTCTTTTCTAACTGTAATATCATGATCTATTTTAAATAAGCTTATCCTGTTTTTAAGCTTGTTCAATAAAACTATGTCTCAGTGGTGGACATTTCAAAACTTCCTGTTTCTGGAAATTTCTTACTAACAGATTCATGGAGGGAATAGGAGAACTTTTCTTTACCATTATGTTGTTATATATTTGTATATTGAACATCATAAAAGTTAAATAACACCTGTGAATCATCTTTCCAGCATTGTGACCAAATATCTGAGGGAGTCAAATGAGAAGGCAGAAGGGCTTGGTTTGATTCTGCCTGGAGATTTCATACCGCAGTTGGGTAGATTGTTGATTTTGAGTCTGTATTGAGACAGGATGTAATGAAAGGAGCATCTGCCAGTGAATTTCACCCACCTCATGGCAACTGGGATGCCGAGAGGAAGAGATGTGAATGGCCCTGGGTACAGCAGCACCTCGAAAGCAATTATCCAGGCTTTAGAGTGTGGGTTTGAAGTTTTCTGATTGATTTTCCTCTCATGCTCTTATTCATCTATTCACGGAAGAATAAGAGAGAAAATACATCATCACCATAGCTCAAGAATCATATCCAATTAAAAAAATGGATGCCAGATTTAATTCCATTTTCCAATTTCCTAGAATCCACATGTTAAAAGGCTCCATGTCTTCCTGATAGCATGAGGGGCTGGGTGTCGAGGCCCCACATGTTCTTCAGGTGATGTTATATGAAACTGTAAAATGCTCAATCAATTCATTGGCTGTATTATGTGTTTTGATCAACTTATCCCCCAAATCACTGGAGTGTCTGGGATGTCAGGTAAAAGATGAATAGTCACTAACATTTATTTGAATGTTCTCAGACTCCTCAGTCTGTGTGCAGTGAGAGCTGTGGTCCTGGATTCAGGAAAGCCTCTCTGGAGGGAAATGCTACCTGTTGCTTTGATTGTACTCCTTGCCCAGAGAATGAGGTTTCTAATATGACAGGTGAGTCTGTACAGTGAAATTCCACATATCTCCTTCCTAACCTTCAAGCCAGTGGAATGATCTAGTAGCAAGGCAAGAAGACACATGCATGTTCATACAAAATTCCATCCTACTGTTAACCATATTTCTCCTTAGAAGAACCAACCTAATGCTTCTCCATTACATACATATTTTCTAATCTACTACAGGCTTTATCTTGAGAACATTCCTGTTCCACTCTCCACAGTCACATTTTTTGTATTTAAAGAAAATATATAAAAAAAGAAAATATCAAGCACCACTTGTTGATCTTTGAAATGATGTGCAAATGATCATGGAAATCTGGATCTAACACAGCCTTTCATTTCTGAGTCCCATTGCTGATCTTTTCAAATTAAATTTTATTTTATATTTAGCATACTCTAATAATACAAAGGGCTTTGTTTGGATAACTCCATATGTGACACAGGCACTAGATTGACTAACAAATCTTCAAATGTAATTGATTCAAGAGTAGTTTACCAACCCCATTTCATTTGGCTTCTCCATTCAAATATAATTGATTTAGAAGTTTTTACCAACCCCATTTCTTTTGGCTTCTCCATTCAGAAGTTGTTTACAATCTCCATTTCATTTGGCTTCTTCCTCCTCCAGTGATCTTTCCCAGAGCCTATCATATTGGTGGAGGGGCATTGTTCTTTTTTTCCATTTATCTTTATTGTTTTATTTTTTGTTTTGATTTGCTTTTTGTCAGTTGTGGGGAGTAGCATTGTTCTTGACACACAACAAATGCTCAGGAAGTTTTTGTTTGATGTAAGGAGTAGGTTGAGTTTGGGATTAAGCCCTCTTCACTATTCTCCATTATTTCTTGAATGAGTGGTAGATAGCCAGCGTGATATGACCTGTCTAGAATGAGTATATAATGCTAGGTAATTATTGCACTTGAAATCCAAGGTACTCAGGCAGTTGAGATTTGAGATGGAGTTTGATGCAATGAGGGGAAGGAAACTCAATAAGATTCATTCCCACAATTAAGCAACAATAATGTTGGAATGCAAGCTGTGGGTCAGTGTGAGGGTGGCAGTGTTGGGCATGAATTCTCTGGAAAAATTCCCAGGGCCAGAGTTCAAACACTAGAGGAAAGAGAGAAGAAAAGAGAAAGAAAGAAAAAAAGAAAGAAAGAAAGAAAGAAAGAAAGGAAGGAAGGAAGGAAGGAAGGAAGAAAAGAAGGAAGGAAGAAAAAGAAGAAAGAAGGAAGGAAAGAAGTAAAGAACAGCAGAAAGAGAAAGAAAGAGAAGGAAAGAAAAAAGAGGGAGTGAGGAGGGAGAGAGTCATTAGGGAGGAAAGATAGAAAGGAAGGAAGGAAAGAAGGAAGAAAGCAAGGAGAGGAGGGAAGGAGAAGGAAAGAGATAACCAGAAAAAAGAGAAAGGGAGGAAGGAAAGAAGAAGAAATGTGAGAAAGAAAATGCACCTGAATGTATTTTGATATAGAGAGGTAGTCTACATGGTATTGAAAGCAATACAGGTCAAATGGTGAATCAGGGAAAAGGAGTTGCTTAAGTGGAAGGGGATGAGAGTAAAGAGAAATTATGAAAACAGATTAATAGTGATTCTCACTCCTCACCAGACATGGAGCAATGTGTGAGGTGTACAGATCATCAGTTTGCCAGCACCCAGAGAAACCAATGTCTGACGAAAAGTGAGAGCTTCCTAGCTTATGAAGACCCCTTGGGCATGGCTCTAGTATGCATGGCTCTCTGCTGCTCTGCATTCACAGCTGCTGTTCTTTGGGTGTTTATCAAGCACCAAGACACCCCCATTGTCAAGGCCAATAACTGGGTCCTCAGCTACATCCTGCTCATCTCCCTCATCTGCTGCTTCCTCTGCTCCTTGCTTTTCCTTGGCCGTCCACACACAGTCACCTGCATCCTCCAGCACACCACATTCGGAGTGGTCTTCACCATGGCTATTTCCACTGTCCTGGCCAAGACCATCACTGTGGTTCTGGCCTTCACACTCACTGCTCCAGGAAGAAGGGCGAGGAAGATGCTGGTGTCATGGGTTCCTAACCTCCTCATCCCCATCTGCACCCTTATCCAGGTGATTCTCTGTGGCTTGTGGCTGGTAATCACTCCTCCCTTTGTGGACACAGATGTGCACTCTGAACATGGCCATGTCATCATCCTGTGCAACATGGGGTCCCTCACTGCCTTCCACTGTGTCCTGGGATACCTGGGCACCCTGGCCCTGGCCAGTTTCATGGTGGCTTTTATGGTCAGGAACCTGCCTGACACCTTCAATGAGGCCAAATTCCTAACCTTCAGCATGCTGGTGTTCTGCAGTGTGTGGCTCACCTTTCTGCCTGTCTACCACAGCACCAAGGGGAAGGTCATGGTGGCTGTGCAAGTCTTCTCCATCTTGGCCTCCAGTGCAGGGCTTCTTGGTTGCATTTTTGCCCCCAAGTGCTACATCATCTTGATAAAACCTGAGAGAAATTCTCTGTCCAGAATCAGGGAGAGATCACGTTCTGGAAAAAACAAACATTAAGATGAACCTAATTGTTGCCCAGAATGTTTAGAGGCTCTGAGAGCAATCTGTACCAATTTGACAGTCAACTCTTAATTGAATACTTAGGGTAAAGAAGTTACTCTTATTCATTCCTCTGGTTATATTAGAGTCATAGCAAATTCCAAACAAGACCTCCTAAATTGCATTCTAACTTGGATATATTATGCTTTTTGAATGTAATTTGCCTTTTATTCTATCATTCTTCCTTGTGAGTACATTATCTACTGTGCTTCTTCCTTTCTATTTCCTGTTTCGATTTTTCTTCCTACTTATGCTATTTTGCTGCTTGTACAGCACTATATTTCTAAGGCTAGTAGTATATTTCCTTTATTTCTTTTTCTTTTTTGTATATTTTTAATTGTAAAATACTGTACAGAGAGGTTCCAGTTACATGAACAAGGTAATGAGTACATTTTCAATCAAACGTTATTGCCTCCTCCTTAGTTTTTCACCTACAATCCCTTCCCTCCCACCTCCACAACTACTCTGACCCACCCTCGCTGAAGATGTAAAGTGCTATATGAGTTTTTTTCTGTCTTTGTTCCTCTCCCAGGGCATCCCCCTGTTTTTACTGTGCTTGATTCCAGTGCCCTGCATCTTCTATATAAATTTATCTAATTTGAGGAGGGGAAGAGAAAAAACAAAATGCTTAAAAATGGTTAGAGTTTGACCCATTGTAACAATGAGATGCACAACACACTCTGTAGATAACATATTTTATATTTTGCTATATTAGTGAGTATATTTTTTAGAAAATCTCTCATTCTCTCTCTTCTTTCCTTAAGAATTTTATAGCAGAATATTTATCTGCTCCAGTTTCCCACAGGAATCTACAGGTTTTTTTTTTCTGGAAGAAATGTGAGGGCACCAAACTAATTAGAGTTGCCCAAATGAGCAGTGGGAGCAATAGTTTGCTTATTGGTAATTATTTCTCCATGACAGCCATTGATAAAGAATGCACAATTAGCCCAGCAGAGCCTTGTCATCTCAGTCCCTAAGAATCCTCAATATTAATGGAAGGAGAAACAGAATCATTTATAAGAAGAGAAAAAGCTCCCCAAAGAGAGGACAAAAACATTAGATAGGCTCAGACTCCATATCTCTCAATATTCTTTACAATTCTATGAGAACAAGAATTATTTAGAAGATTCCATTAAGAAACAAGAAGTGTTGAGGGGCTTAAATTGGGAATATTGTCAGGCCACCACTGCATTGTACAGTCAGGAGGATTCCAAAAGACAAGCAAGATAATGTCTCTGAGTCCAGAGATATTGTCGTCCTTCAATGCTGTGGCTCATTGGAGTGACATCACCCATGCATGCATGACAGAGACACATACAGCGCTGTCTCTAATTCTGCTGGGCCATTGCTGGAAAACAGAAAAGCATCTGCACAAAAACAGAAATGTCTGGAAGCCAAACCGATTATTCCCAGTTTTAATGACTTAAGAGAGGGCTCCCTGTTCTATATAGGTGTAATGACTGCTAATTTTGGACAAATATGTATTCAACACAGGGGTATTGATGAATTTTTCTACCATAAAGCTTTAATAAGTACCAAAACAACCCAACTAAACAAAGGAAATGAGTGTTAGACTACCATGTCAAATGTCTATCTCAAACTTTTGAAGCCTAACTAAACAAAAGAATTGAGTGTTAGACTACCATGTCCAATATCTATATCAAACTTTTGAAGACTGATTAGTTACACACTAGAGAAATAGGAACAAGGAAACTTCAAATCCAATAACTGTTTGTCCTTTATTAAGTGTAAACTTACCATTTTATGCTAATAATAAATAGCTAGAAAAAAATAAATAGCTAGTTGCCCTTATATTATACATTCATCCTACTCTAAGAGTAAAGGAAGTAAGCATTAAGTCATTTCTAAGGAAAGAGGTTAAGGTACAATGGACCTGTTCCTGGGCTCTCAGTGAAATAAAATGGGAGTTTACCTTGTCAATGGGGACAAACTATCAGAATTATCCTAGTCTCATACCTTATATCCATAAGCAGCAAGGCCAATGCAAACACAGCTGTAACAGTGTGTGTCTGTATACTTAGAGTTACATTGACATTGTTCAAAATTTGCTGAGCACCCATGCCTCAGGCTTGTAAATTTCATTCCTCAGAGAGCTAGATGTGAGTATCAGGGTTCCAAGCAAGCCTGGGGTAGGAAAGTGCATGAGTCTTTTATCTGCAATGAACCAATAAAAACCAGAATATATCTTTGGTTCAAGTGGTAGGGCAATAGTTTTACACAAAAACAATGCTCAGGAAAAACACCTATTCCCTGACTCCCTGACTTCAATTATCACAACCAGCACGCAAAAAGCCTCCGTAAGAGCACAAGGTCACTTTAATTTTTCCAGTTGGTCATGATGTAAGTTCCATTTGAAGTATAGAAAGATGAAACATATGAAAAAAGAGCAACACAGAACACAGTGGTCATAGCTGGGCAAATAGGAATCTCCAAATAATATCATTGATGCTGTTTTTATAACTGTGGTGTAGACCTTTAATATCGTTGTGATAGTCACTTTGCAGCACTCAGAAAGAGTTTACGATAATACATGTATTGCAGTTTGGAGAAGAACTCAATAGAAAACAGAGCCAGTAGTGTATAGGTAGAAAGAAAAAAATTGTTTTGGTTATCCATTTTGGTAATCAAACACAATTAAGAATGTATAAAACATGGTCAATTGTGGCATTCACCCAAGTGGTGAAATAATTTTTACTGCTCTGTCCTACCATCTGGCTAGTCAAAACCATTATGTCGGTATTTATAATTAAGAGGTGATCATTCCAGGACTCTTCACTCATCAAGTACATCTGTACTTACTGGATAGACCTGCTGCTGTCTTTAGACACTACCAAGGGGTAAAGAACCTAGGATGGGGAGTGGGAACCAGATGGTGATGGGACAGTAGGGAAACACCACAGCTCTCTCCATCAAAAGAGAGAGTTCAAGTTCTAATGCTTAATTTCCCCAAGCATCCAAGAATAACAAAAAGATAAAATTTCAGAAAAAAAACATGTGGTGGAAAAAACAAAAAAGAAAGAAAAGGAAGAATTTCAGAGCAGAAAAGTGCAAAGACCTCTCCCAGCTATGGCCTGCCTGGCCCTACGGGGACTGCCAAAGTCCCCAGAGACACAGAGGGTCTTCTACAGATCACCCATGCAGAAGACCTCTGAGGTACATGTGCTGGACCCGCTGATCCTGAGGAATACAGAAACCTCAGAGCTGGGAGCCTGCACAAAGACCAATCCTCCACCCCTCCCCCACAGAGCAGAGGGGCTCCATCCCACCAAAGCCACTCAGCCCCATGGCCCCATGGGATGAACTCCAGAACTACAGGGGTCTGCACGCAGAATGCCAGTGTAGAAGACTTGTAAGGTATTGGTGCTGATCCAGAGAGCGGAGACAGAGACAAACCTCAGGGCTCAGAACCTGTACAGAGAACCCTCTCCCACCCCTCCACCCACGGCAGCCCATGGTATGCACAATCCAGCCTATGGCATCCACAGCCTGCAGCATTGACACAAACAGCATCAATAGACATAGAGACAGAAGTGAAATGCTGAAACAGAGCCACTAGTGGCCAGCCCAGCCCACAAGCATCTCTACTGAATGCAGATTGCAGAGGCAACAAGCCACCCACATCACACAAAAACTACAGTTGGAGAGTTCCCAACTAGATCCAGGGTGAGTACCCAACAGGGGACAGCATATACCCCCTCAAGGGAGACCAGATCCGGTGGGAATCCCCAGATCTTGACCCAGACCCCTGCCTCAACACCTAGAATACAGGACCCACTAAAACTGGGAACTGTTTGAGTTGTCCAACAGCCCATGGAGCACATCCAACCAGCCAGGCTAGATCAAGAGCACCCCTGGAAGGGAGCTTAAACACCTAAGCCAGGAACAGTGTCTGGGGGTCACAACAGCTAACAGTGCAAGAAACCTGAACTGTTTACTCCAGGCTGAGTAACACAGGCAGGATATCCAGCAGCACAGGTCCAACTGGTGTGCCACAGGAGGGTGACCAGGAGCCAGGGCCAGGACCAGGCCTGGTGATTGGGTGCCTGAGCAACATAACCAGCTCCTCCCGATTGAAATCAGAAGCTGAACATATGCCTCAGCAGAGGGTGAAAAGCAGGGAACCACATCACCTGGGAATAGCGCCTGTGACAGCAAAAGACCTGTGTGTCCAGGGCAAGAGAACTAGAAGCCCTAACCACACCAGAACCTGATCCTTATATCCAGGATGGGAATTGGAAAACTAAGGCCACCAGCACATGATAATAGTCAGGAGCTCAGGCTGGTAAGGCAGCTCAAGTATAGAGTGCTTGCCTTGTGTGTACAAGGCCCTGGATCTGATTTCTCAGCACCACATAAGCAGAAAGGGCCAGAAGTGGTGGTGTGGCTCAAATGGTAGGGCACTAGCCTTGAGCTGAAAAGCTGAAGGGAAGTACCCAGGCCCAGAATTCACGCCTATGACTGACCAAAAAAAGAAATTAGGAGCTCATCGCAGACTCCGTCAACTGGGAGAGTAAATCCAGGTGATCTCCCCAAGAACGCCTATAAGAGTAAACAGGAACAGTTTAGGCTTCTCAGTCCCTCTAAAGGCAGAAACTGCCAGTGATGTACAGAAGACCACCGAGAGCCCTATGGGGGTCAGACTAGAAGCTAGAGGTCAACCTCTCCCTCAAAAGAGCAGAGACTAGGTACAGACATACTCAGCCAACCCAGAACCAGCAAACAAAGACAGACACACATTAACCAAAACAATATTTCAGATTAGTCTCCAATAATTCCTGAATCCCCATGCAAAAATCACAAAGAAAAATTACAAGGTTTAACAGCACCCAAGATAGTAAGCTATCCCCAAAAGTCGGCAACCACCCAGTGGAAGCAAAGCAAGAATGGAAGACAAAAGCTATATCTAAGAGATGCTGGAGGTAATGACTTAAGAATTA